AAATCCTACTGAAAATATTTTTCAACCTAATAAGCTTCACCGCTTTATTATGAACATTTAAAAACTTTTCAATGTCTTACCCAAACGCTAATATTTTAATTTTAACAACAAATAAGGTGTATTATCCTAAGTCAAAGAGTACACACTGAAACATTGAAGAAGAAAAAAATGGACGCAAAAACAAATAATAATAAATAATAAAGTAAAAAATATATATATATATTATTATTATTATTATTATTTTCGCTTATAATTTTGGGGATGTGTATTGCAATGTTTGTTTATTCTTTTAGTTACATTTATCCTTCATTTTTAAATTTTATCTGTTGCAAAGCGATAATAACTTTTGCTTCCAGATTGTCGAATGTTAACAAATCGTAGTGTAAAGTGAAATCGGTATTTAAGGGTTTGCATGCATTAAGATGATGTACAGTCAGCATGTGGCATAATGATTGACTCATATTATTGATGAAATCATGAAAGTGTTGTTATGGTGAATGAGGAAGTTGTGGTTGTGAACTTATCCGTATATAATTTTATGTTTTCATATCTCTCTTCTTTTTTTCGTTGTTTCGAGTTCCTTGGTATTATGACTGTTTTTTTTTTTAATCGTAGTTGAGACATGATAAATAATATAACTTTAATTATGTTTGGTTATTTATGAAACAATATGAGATAATGTTGATGATTTTTTATTATCAAAATCAAGTTAATTATTTCAAGGTATGGTTTTATCATTTGACAGAAATCCTTATCCTTAAAAATTACCTCGAGTCCGCTTTCGAGGCATGCTTTCATCATTTGATAAAGAACATTATTCGTAAAAAAATACTCTAACACCTCTTTCATGATCATTGCACCTACTGTGTGAATGCGGTATGAAAAAAAAGATGACTTATATTAGTAAGCTTCATATTTTTTCGGCCGAAACTCATTCTAGGGGTCATATGAACGATGTTGTTGTGATTATTGGACCGTATTTCTCTTATAATCAATATTTATACCATATAACAAGTAAGTGTCTATCCCTCAGTCCATTGTAATGAAAACTTGGTCCAAACTCTGCATGATGAGTGTCAATGTGGAGATTGTCACCCTTAGTTGGACATACCTACATGTGCTAAGTGGAGCAAAATTTTTGAGATGAGATGAACATATTTATGATCTACACTCCTAAGCCTTTTTATTGCAGGATGAAAAATGAAAGCGACATTGGACGTATTGCGTTATTTTGAAGTTTTTTTAAAATTTTATATACATTGAGTTTTATTCGATTATTTCGCTTAGATATGTAATTATGTTTTCCATATTCTTGTTCGATATTAGCTAGGACAATGTCCCGTTGTAAGGAATTTGTTTTATGTATAGTGCAATGAGCAAGGTGGTGCTCGATGATGGGCTCAACTCCAACCGTCATCTCCCAAACTTGATCCTCGTTGTGAATGGAGGGAGGTTTCCGCTACATGGTATGACATCCAATACACAATAACTCCGTCCTTGTCATATTTTTGATTTGCTAACATTTTTGTCAACCCCTTCTTTATGATAAGACAATGAAGTTTCTTTTTTTTTTTGCATGCATGTATTTTGTATTCGTTGTCATTATCCAATCAACTCGACAATTTTGAGACTTTGTGGGAAACGATTCATGGAGACTCAAACTCCGACGTAGAACTCAAACCTCTCATTTTCAAAACCTTGGGACAACCCTTTTTCAACACTGCAGACCCTTGTGCTTGGCATGAGGTTTCGTTGGTCAGACTAGCAAGACAAAAGAGGTAGATGCAAGACCACTAGAGCAGCAATTACTAATAAAATTGCAAAGGTCATGTTCAAATAGGAGACTGTACCCAGTTGCCAACATGTGGAGCTCCTCACCATTAGAAGAGAGCCAACAACATGCATGGCCCATGAATGACCATGCATAGATTACCTCTATTTGTTTGGTTTGTGCTAATTACAACTTTTCTGCTTTTATTGTCACTTCTAGTATTAGCAGGTGTTATTACTATGCTATTAACTGATAGAAATTTTAATACCACTTTTTTTAATCCTGCAGGAGGAGGAAATAATGTTTTATTTCAACATCCGTTTTGGTTATGAAATTCTCTCATCATCCTTTAAATAATGACATTGTCACAAAGACTCTTTTTGAGAGTGGTGTGGTGAGCCCCAAAGAGGCAGGTCCCATTGGGGTGTTCATGTTTGCGTTGAGGATCCCATACATGGTTCATGTTCCCAATCTCATCATGACTGCCATATTCTGTTACAAAGACTTATTCATAGTCCAATTTGGCCTGTCTAAGCAAGACCTGAAAAAAGTGGTGAAGCCACAAGGGCAAGTTGAAATAGAGTCCTCCGTACTTTGGGAGGGGTCCCCCGCCCCAGATTACCAGAGAAAACGACAAGTGTTCTTCATCCGTCCAAAGTGCAATCTCATCCCTGATGGGTTGATCCCTGTGAGTTGGGCAATTTGTCAATCTTTAGCCTAGCTGGTTGGGCACAGGAGACCAGGGGCCTTGCTCAACTATGTGTATGTTGGGAGCGGTTCCCTCCCCGAAATAACAAGATCATCGACCAGTCTCTCTTCATTTGTCCAAAGTGCGAACACAACACACCCTGATAATGACTGGATACAAACTATCTTTCTGATCCGGTGTAGCCAAAATGAGGGTGCCGTGTATTAAGGGAAAGACGGACAGCCAAATGGGAGCACTAGTGGTTAATGGAAGGCCAAAAATTCGGGGGGTTTCGCCGTGTCGCTACAAACAATGTTGTCGAAAATTTTGCGAACAAAAAAAGTTTGAATTTAAAAATTAGTGAATTTCAACTTTCTTGCAAATCAACATTTTCTAGTGACTCTTCAAGTAATTAGACATTCTGTTTTTGCTAAGTTTTTTGTTATTGCTTAAAATACGGCGGAACTGAATACTGATATACCCTAAAGCACATATATAACAAGAAAAAAAAGAAGAGAAAATAGTAAAAATTCAGGGAAATATGATAGTTTCGGTGAAAAATTCGCCTTGGGCCTTCCATTAACCGCCTCTCGTGTGTGTGCGTGGCACACACACACACACATACACACACACACACACACACACACACACACACACACACACACACACACACACACACACAATGTCAAGTCGGCAGGCGGGCCTTTAGTGACTGCACGCAGTCCTAATGGCAGTCATATACAAATATGAAGAGCAAGACGGAGAGCAAATAGGAGAAAAGGGAAAAGGCGTGGGTCTTTTTTGTCTACTCACCCGGCTATGTTACCTGGTAGCTGGCGGGATGGCAGGCGAGACAGCAGGCGCGATGGGCGCGAGAGTGTTATGGATTCTTGGCTTGTTTGGCGTCAGAAACGTGCCGTTCCTTTTTGCTGCGGAAAAAGACCCTTTTCCAAGAGACGCCCGCCTCCAGCCCGTTTCCAAGAGACGCCCGCCTCCAGCCCGTTTCCAAGAGACGCCCGCCTCCGGCCCAAACGGTTTCAGGTGGAAACCAGCCCAAACGGTTTCAGGTAGAAACCGGGCCACCGTTTCAGCTAGCCGACTAGAGGCCGGGTGCATTTTCAATTTACACCCGGTCCGAGCCCGTGCCCAGCCTATTTCCCTAGGCTGGAAAGCACCCAGTGGTTACCAACTGGGCAAATCTGGGTCGCGCGGCACTACTGGTGGTTTAATGAGCTGCACCTCTGGAGAATCGCGAGGAAACCTACCAGTAGTGGTGGTTCGAACTAACCCTACCAGTAGTGGTGGTTCGAACTGACCGGGCAGAGGTAGTTCATAAATATTTGGTTCCATGGAACAGATCATGGGTGTACCAACTGAGCTACGGGTAGGCTGTTTGGTGCTTTCCACGTTTTAGCTGACCTTTTGGTGGAGGGGGTGGGGGCCACTTGGGATAACCTCTTCCTGGTTTGGAAAGTAAGAGGGGCCCTCAGATCTTTTTTGTGACCTATTGTGATCGGAACAGTGTTGTGAAATAGTCGGATCGGATGTGTCCTCGGTCCTGTCGAGAGGTGCAGGCAGAACAGGCAGGCAGAAAAAGATGCCTGGGTGTACTTCAGGCAGCCAACGCTGCGCGTGGCGCCCTATCCCGCGAGGGTGTTCCTCTTCGAGGCCATACTCATACGAGGACATTCCTGCATGCATCTGACCGCTTTACCCGCCAACGCCTGGATGCACATGACCGTAATTACGTCCACGATAGGTCGAAATGTCCTACCTGTAGTGTGAGAATGCCCTGAGAGGCGGAAATGTCAGGGAAACCCTGCGTGCCTCTGCGAACCGCTAATTTTTTTGAACGATGAGAAAGTATCTTACTTTTTCGAGTGACGACTTCGAAGTGGAAGAGGGACACCTACGAAAGATTCTAGACCAGCAAGCAAGCAGTCTGTTTTGGGAATCATGTCGCGGGCGCCCTCCTGGCTGCAAGCTCCATCTACAACTTCCATGCCCGCTTCTTCTCCTTCCGCATCTGCTGGCGACTAGACTACCTCCCAGCCTGATCTCTCTCTCTCTCTCTCTCTCTCTCTCTCTCGCTCGCTCGCTCGCTCGCTCGCTCGCTCGCTCGCTCGTAATATATCCAAACCTCCATATACCTCGTCCACTCTTGCCTCTTGCCAGACAGACGCTTCACAGAGCTCACGTGGGCAGACAGACACACACACACACACACACACACACACACACACACACACACACACACACACACACACACACACACACACACACACACACACACACAC